ATATATATATATATATATATATATATATATATATATATATATATATATACCTGCAACAGCCCCTTCAAAGGCGACTGGAGAGATTCCGTCTGCGTTTGCGTTTTATAGGTCTAATAACTATGGTCATCAAATAACCCTAACGAGGCGGCGCAACAGGTCAAGATATTGCTGGTGCACACAACTGCACTATATACAGTAGCGCTCGAAAGTCTTCGAGCAAACGCTCTCACGCATTTCCGTTCATAACTTTTCCTTAGTGGAACAAATCGCGTGAAACTTTGATGTTTATCAAAAGCATATTTCACACTATGTAAGACTATTTGACTATTTGATTGCAAAGCAGCAATATCCACGTAATTTATGGAAGGTATTTTGCGGTAGCAGAATTAGCTCAAAGCAATGTTAGTAACGTCTGCAGTTATTCGCACCTTATGTGCTTTTCTTTTCTCTACTGTGTTAGGCAATTCCGCTCGTACACTTAAGACAACGCAGAAAGGAAATAAGCCAGAAGGACCATCATCCGTATTTCCAGTTGATTTTTAGTTCAAGTTCTTTAGGGTATCTGAAACATGATCAGATTATACGCTGATAGTGGTTCACAATACACACATGCTACTCATATCGAAATTTCGCATGATTAGATCCAGTAGGAAAGGAGCTACGACTTTTAGGGCGGCTGAAAAAGCATTCGGCCGAAGACTTTCGAGCCCTACTGTATAAAATACATAGTAAAGTCGGAAATTTCACGTGCTTTCCCATTTTTGAGCTCTGATCTTCTCATTAGATCCTAGGTCTTGGATCAAGTCCCAACACATGCATAAATTAGCAAGATGGAACAAGCAATCAAAAAGAAGGAATTGCCCGAACCGCAGAAGGCGAATGACGACTAAGATTAGGTCAGTTCATACCTGAGCGAGCTTGAGCTTCATACTAAAAAAATGATTGCTGGTTCGCAATAGTTAATAGTTGGACGGGCTCGTCTTCTGCACACAAGTTCAGAATAAATAAAGGTGGTCATTAGATGTTCACAACAAGTATCGCGTTAGAGCTTTGCACGTGCTGCTGTCAAATGTTAGGAGACGACAGCAGGTGAGCCATCGAATGGAACAAGTTCTGTGAGGGACACATTATCATCTTCGCAGTCAGTATCGAGAGTTTTGAAGGAGAAGAAACTCTTCCACTTGCAGGACACACAGCAAAATACTTCTTCTATTCAAAGTTTCTTTGTAGCAGATTCACCACCGGCCCTGGTATTCGTTTGACGTCTCGAGATCCTATTCCTGATCCTATTGTCATCGCGAAATTGCACGACGTTCTTGACCATCCGTTTACGGATTCCCTCTCAACTTGCGAGAATAGGTAAGCTCTATAGACTGATTTTGAGATCCAGATAGGGGATGAGGAATCTGCCGTTGTTTCGACCTTTCTACAAGCCGACGACATTCGTTCAGCCATATACACAACATCTGTTGCGAAAAGCGGTTGAGAACCGGAGGTGGTGTAACTGTCGGCGGTCGACCCATGCTCCTGATTGTTCGATTACAGAGCGGCCCTCAACAGACTGAGATGCAAACAAATTTTTCTCCTTAAGCCATGGTCAGCTGTTGTTTGCTTTTAGAATGTTGAGTGAGATCTTTACTGTCGTTGTAAACTAATCAAGAATCTCCCAGGACAAGGGAAGAATCCCAACTCGAATTGGCCACTTAGGCTGCTGAACGTCTTTTTGATGCTGACCGACTCGGCTTGAGGTTTACAAAAGCCTGTATTTTTGATTGGTAGGAGGAAATAACGTTTGAGTAGTTGTATACTGATCACATGTAACTGCTTTTGTGAAGGTGGTGCGCAGAAAACAGCTCAATAGATTTTCAGGAGACGCCTAGAATACGCAAGCAGTGTCGACGTTGCTTGGTTCGGAATCGCTGCCTCTGATCACATTCAGTCGAGCACCAAATTGTTCATCATGTGTTTTGTTGCTTGGCTGTGAAAATTCTCTTTTTGAAGGAATTTTACTTGGTTAACTAGTCAGATATGTCACACCAAATTATCACTTAGTAGGATCGGAAAGTAATTCAAAATGTTCCCACCGGAGACATAGACCAGCACGAATGAAAACAACCATCGGGGTATCCATCAACGACAAGCCAATGCAGTGATGTGAAAAAGTGTCTAGTTGCAGTGACCTATTCTACTTTCCTAGCGCTTTCTGAAGCCAACGATAGTAGAATTTGTATCTCCTTCGGAAATCCTACTGTGACGGTAATGTATTCAAAATGACCTAAAAATTGGGGGTGTTGGTTCAGCGGGAAACCGAATCACCTTGGGCATCTAAAACCCCGTAGAATATGATTAAATCAACTAAAACTGGTTTTCCAGGCCACAAGCCTTGTTTAAGCGAATCGACTTCGCTGATTATTTTGGCTAGTGCTGGTCCTTGGACTGGCACTGATCCTGGCGTTGAAGTCACTCATGACCACTCCAAAGAGATTGAGGTTGTCAGGTCAAATACCTCGTATACCACCTGAATGCTCCCAATTTATCCTCGTCGCAGCCTGATATTGGTGCAACGGCGATGACAAGTGCGAGAGCTGGAGCGAAATTGATTAATCTCAGGCGTATGGTCCGCTACGAGAACGCACAGAGCCGAGACCTCTACTGTCGTTCAACTACAGCTACCAGGGAATACATGCTGATCCATTTCCATTCCGCCTATCCATCAAACCTTGAGGACCCATATCTTAAGGAATATGTTGCGCATCGCTTCAAGAGTTCCCTCAGAACGCGAGGAAAAAGCGGAGTCGGTACAACAGGCGCTCCGCTAGCACAGGCAAAAGACTACGAAACCTCGGAATTCCCATTTCGACACAGGTGAGGGATGGTCGCAGAGAATCGTCACGATGAAGAATTCCATTTCGTATTCCATTCATATCAGACAAATCAAATGCGTCCATGCGATCATGTGTGAGAAAGGCAGGTCTTCAAATGCGTCCATACGATCTGTGTGAGAAAGGCAGGTCTGAGGAACCTTCGACTGCATAAGCACAATGGATTCGTGTGTCACATGCCCTTATGATAAGGAGGGAAACTGCATGACATCCGGTCTTGTGTATTTAATATCGTGCTTTCAGTGTCAATAGAAGTATGTTAGGGAAAAAGCAGGTCACTTTGCAATCCGAATAGAGGAGCACCAGGATGTCATGCAAAGGTAGAGAATAGCCTCCCCTATAGGAGAACATAGGGTACGATCTTCTGGGAACACGAGGTTTGAGGTAACGGTCACGACATTATCACGTGGATCCGACACTGCGGCACGACGAACTTCGGTTTTCGGACGAACCGCCTTTTGGATCATGGCTAAAGCTACCAGAATTAACAGAAGGGAAAGTGTGGGCGGCCTCCACAGAGCTGGCGCCCTTCGCAGCACTATGCGGCTTTTGACCAACGCTGTCATCCCCCAAGAGGTTCACTCGTCAGGGCGGGGTTAAGGGGCTCGTACAGTAATCTTTGGGAGGTGACTGGGAAGAGGTCCGCGGTGCGCTTGGCCTTGAGTGGCTTATGGAGAGGTGGTCAGCCCCTGGGAGATACCTGAGGCAAGTTGATGTAGAGCTTACCACATTGTAATCGCAATTCCACCAGCTTGGGGGGATCGGTGGAATGCACAGGTCCTCATTCTAGAGATTAGTTATCAACTTCTCAATCCGTAGTCCACGCCCTTCGAACTCTCTCTATAGATTAAATAGTGCTCTACATGAATTTTTTTCTCGAATAGCTTTTGTCTATCCATGCTCCGAAGGAGGTGAAAGCACCGACATGTAAGCCGAACAAAGTATTGTTGAAATCTCAGTGTGCACAGGTATGAAGGTAAACTCACGGTAACTTTTGTTATATGAACCTTGCGGGCGCTTGTTTTGCTTCAAAATAAGTGGTCAACCCCTGCGAAGCATTTCCTAACTTCGAGGAAGTGTTGGTGCGGAATAGTGCCTCGATGGTAAAGAAAGCGGTATTTGCAGATAGAGATATAAGGCTCTTCCGAAGTGAAGAAAATGAAGAAATTTAGTGGATACTGCCTAACGCAGAGTATCATGACGGAAATGGTATAGAATGATTTTTGGAGTCGTATACACCGTATGTGGCGCTTTTAGATCGGCAAACAGCCGAGAAAGGGCAATATAAAGGCTCAGAGACATCGGCTAAATGCCATACCAATAGCGGACGAGTTTCAACGACGTTGTAAAGGCCGCATCATTCCAAGAGACTCTCATGTAGGAACTCCAAACAACTTGCCATGACTCATGGCGACAGTAGAAAGCAGTTTTGGACAGTTATGGCTTGATATGGGCAACACTTGCAAAATTGCAACAATTGACACCTCGCTCAAATATCCTTACTATATATAAAGCGCTCGCATCTGTCTGTTTGTCTGTCTGTCTGCTTGTACGGAAATTCGATATCACCTGAAGAAGCACCTGCAAGAGTCGGGTCAGGTTCGGGATGTTTTGGAGAAACAAATCTCCTTCGAAGCACTCCCGGAAGTGTCTTCAAAATTACACAGCTAGAGTGAACGACGCAGCAGTCGTTTCAAGACCATATTGTGCCCGTAATGAAGGAAGGGTGGATGGTGTGCTTATATGAAGAGTGTGATAATGAAGTCAGTGTCAAAATTCCCAATCCAAGAGCGGAACCGGAACTGCACGCTGCCATCAGTTCCTACATGATTCTCCAAAAGTGAGACCTTCTTGGTAACCAGTCACCGTGAATGCAAGGTGGATCATATTCAAACCGATTTCCGAAACCTCTACGACAAGAAAAATCACTCTCGGGAAGGCGTAGTCTATACCTGTTTGAAATCAATAAAACCCTTTATAACAGCGACGAATGAATGGTGCTTCTAAAATATACCTCATACAGAAACTTGACTGTCATAAGAACATGGAAATCTGTGGATGTTTCAGCCGTGAAATACCTACAACAATGCATTTTCAAAGGACTAGATTAAGAATATAAAATTTGAAAGTACGAATGAGCATGAGCAGGATAAGCCACACATGGTAAATAGATTAGCTGTACATCTGGCGGATTTTCAGAAAATCTCTTTCAACACAGGAAGAGCATGAGAATCTGTGAGCGTGTGCAAGAATCGTTCACGACTTCAACAGCACAGTAACAAATGAAAATGCTCGGTGTGCTGAAATTTTGAAGGCACATCCCGACCGAAGTTCCCTGTTGATGCTAAGAACCTCTACTATTTCAAATTTTTAGGCATTTCACGTTCTATCGAAACCGAGGATGGACGCCTAGAAGAGCTGGTGGAAACCAAACTGGAAGAGTGCATTGCTCCACCGAGAAACACTGAAAGATATATTCTAAGAATCCTCCTGCGTTTCAACACAAAAGGGAAGATATACTTTGGAAATAACCTTGATGGAACACTTCACGCCAATTTCCTCGATGCAGGGAAAGCTGCTGGTTCCCTGGGTGGTCACGTTCACCTACGCCAAAGTCTTCGAGGGCCAATTCAGTATGATTCTACTGCAACAATCAGGAGTTTCTTTGGATGAATGACGTGCTTTTGTGACATGCTCGAAGCGCATGATCTTGGAAAATAATTTGCCGACGTGATGTCTGAAGATTATATTCGCCAAAAAATAAATGGAGAACTGGCGGTTTCTCTCGCACATTAGCACTATCAAGCACCTCCACCGACTACGGAGCATATGAAGAAAGGCAATCTCTTTTATCTCTTTTCTTTCTTTCTTTTAAGGAACCCTCGATGCTACACAGAAAGTGGCTGCAGACAATATTCTTGCTGCGCAGGGAGGAAACGGGAACAAGTGCTCCCTCACCGAAGAACAAGGAGGCAATGGTAAATGATATTTGTACAACACGTTGTACAATATTGCGCTTGGAAAAAGATGCCAAGTATATGCAAAGCGTGAGCCGGGGCTGCCGCTTACCTTCTGCCTGGAGAGAACACTAAACTCAACATTCTAGTTGAACATCGCTGATGAAAAGAGCGCATCTCTGTGACGAAAGACGGTGTGTGGAGCTTAACAGCTCATGTCAGCTCACATGATCATACGGGAAGAATTATTCGTTCTCCGAATGCCGCTTTCGAAGCAGTAGACGCACTTCCAGAAATATGACGCAAATTAATGTTCCCTTCAGTGGAAAACGGGGGGCGCGCGATTCACGCGTGACCCCATTAGAGCTTTTCGCGCACGCAGCATTGTTTCAGTACCTTTCTGTTGAGATGGACCAAATAAATTTGCAGTAGTCCGCGGCTTCACCATGAATTAGAGAAAACTCTTCACTATAGCAATGAAGCCCCTTCGAGATAGGGAATTCACCTCATAGTTCAACAATAAACTTGTCAAACCTTCAAAATAAGAATGACTCTAAATTTTTTGATCCTAAAGAACGCAGTCCTTCTGTAAACGAGCATAGTTGGTAATTGGTACTTCTAAGTTACTTATAAGTTCTTACTTCTTCCATTATGGTGGTAGGCATGATGTTTTAGCGCATTCTATCCGATGACCTCATTATATTGGCGCGTGATTCGCACCACACCCGTGGAAAATGATGGTACTGAGTGGCGATTTCAGAGAAGTTTTCTCTATAGTCGAGCATGAGCACTGTTGCGGTGCGCCTTGCGTTCTTATGTCCATCCTCTAACCACTGTTTCCCATTCACTGCTTGAACGTCAACATGAGAGCTCAAGCTGAAGAAATCCTTTTGAGGATTGAGAGGAAGGAATTGATATTCGGATCTGGCGATGCGAACGATGATCGCATTTCAGTGCAACCACAATGATCTGTGTGACTGACATTGTCTCACATACTATATTCAAGAAGTGATCTACAGCTATGCGATGTGGTATACTAAGGCCCTGAAACATTCATGTTCAGACGACCAGCTCTTCCCGGCAGTGTGTTTCAACTCTTCGATGCCAACTACAATTCCACCACATACATAATTTACGTCCCTTTCTGAAAAGCTCTGTGATAACTATCAACAAGGCTCGAGGCCAATTTTTCAGCGAAGTCGACATCCTCCCGAGGGACGTGCCTGTTCATGGACAGCTTTACGTTGCCCTCTCCAGAGCAAAGACATCTCAAGGGATCACGATTGGATCCTCATCGCCATTACTGAAAACATTATGTACACAGAGGTTCTGTTTCGAACCATGCTGATCCTCAGGATGAGCTCAGAAAATTTCAGCTGTTACACATCAGGAACACTTTATAAACTGGTTGCCGATTAGATCGTTTGTTAGTTAACTTATGAAAAAGTTCTATGTTATCTAAAGATTAAATGAAAAAATTGAGGTTCACTAGGGAAAGGGCTCAGATGTATGAAGCCTAAAGAAAAGATCGAAAATTCACGTGACGCTATGACTTATAGCCAGAGCCTCCAATGCAAGCGATAGAATGCGTGGCCAAATGGTTTAACATGTGGAGGCTTTGGAAGATCCAAAAAAAGAATTCGTCCCAAAGCACGCTAACCTGTTGTGATGTGCCTTGGTCGTCATCTGAATCAACGCCACTGACTATCAACGTTTTCTTCGGCCCTAACTGTAGCTCGCTGAAAGGGAGTACACAGAAATGATCCGCTTGATAACGGATGATAGTTAACTCAAAAAGAAAAATTGCGGGCAGAGAGCAACTAGTTCCGTCTAAAGCTGGCCTCTGAAGGGACCTAGAGGAAATCGATGCGGGCAGCAGTTGTGCCAGTCGCGCTGTGGCCTACTTTCGGATGACCAATGCTTAGCGAGATTAATCTCAATCTCAAATCAGTTGTTGTAATACCCTTCCGCGTTATGTAGCGGCGCGTCTTTAGCATCCGCTCTCTTGCGAACAATCATTTCTTCAGTCATGTGGTTGATGGCCGAGCTACCCAAAAGTGTTGGCCTCTGCAGTAAAAATTTCGAAGTATGGTAGTCGCGAAAGCTTCAATATACAGATCGAAGGGACATTTCAAAGCAGCTGGCTTTACTTTACCTGTGCGATCTTACGTTATCAAGACGTGGAAGTGATCAACCATGACTCAAACACAATGAGGCATGTGGAGGCACGCACTTCCAATTTCACTTCGCCAACAACTTTCGTGCCAAAGAGCAGAAGAAGAAGCACAACGTTCCCATTTTTGGTGCACATCAAGACGAGCTCGGTTCGGTGGACGCTCGTCTTTGTCCGGCAAACATGTACATCGAGGGATTTGCTGTATGAGAGGCACTGGCAAATTATAGATGCTTTCAAATGAGGAAGGAGATGTGAAGTACGTTTATTTGAACGCCATGTCTCCCATCCAGTTAGTGCTGACCTTCTAAAGCGTTTGCAAGCTTTTTTCAGATATTATAGACAGTCATGGGCCGCAATCCAATCGGGAGGAGACGCACGATAAGCTGCTGCCTTTCTACTGTCTTGATCACTGCCCTCCGAATAAAGATGGTGATGCCTGCTCCAATGAACGTTGCTTTCAAAAGCGGGACCTTCTTTTGAAATCAGCTTCTTACACTAGCACGTCGTCACTTTCGCGGACGCGCTCTAATCCATGAACCTCATTTCATGGCTTTAGATGCTCTCTATTCGAAACCAAGTGTTGAAAGAGATTTCCTTAAAAGATAATTGGACGGTGTAGCTACAATATCTGGGGAAGATAACTATTCATAGAGCCCAATCGCTGTGAAGTGCGATCTAACCGCAGGGCGCAGAAACTCATGAAAGTCCCTATTTCTAATTGATGTCACATGTAAATGCCGAAAGGTCTCAGAATTGTTGAAGCAATTCGAATTTGTCATTATTCTGAGATTGACAGCTAGATTAGGGTTGAATAAGGATCCCGATTACACTTCCGTAATCTCCACAGTCCAGTTGTGACTGCTGTGCTTGTGTCCCGATTAAGTTCCAGACTGAACGGAATCCAACTATTCTCAGATGGGCCAATGCCTTTTATTGCTCTAGAAATCTTCGAAGGAAAAATTTCAAGGTTGGAGGTGGAATTCGAAGGCATCTAAAAGACAGTCGCCTGTGAAGTTTTGCAACGTGATGAACTATTCCTCAAGGAAGAGGTAAGGTCGAAAGCTTCCACAATATCATTACGAGCACTGCTCTTAACATGAGAATGAGCTGTTCCACGTTTGATAGACAGAGTCTGATTAGCTACTGCATGCTTTCGCGTGGTTTTATGATATCGTACGCTCGAGCTGAAAGAGCCTAGCGTATTTCCCAACATGGTATAAGCACGGTATGAAGGACACTCCCCCTTCCTATTTCCTATTCCTGCATCCATCGTTTTCGCCTTGTATTTTGCATCCATTGCTTTCGCGTTGCCACGGATAGGTGGCACAAAAGAAGGACAGACCGATTTGTATTATTATGAAGGCTTGGGCGAAATAGTAACAGGCACGAGGATTCATGTACTCTCAGTATCCTTGTGCCCTGAGGAGAGGAGCTGCAATTATTCCCAACACCTCAATTAATTTTCCCATGAGTCCGTCTCTACAACGAAAGGCAAATTTTCCTTATGCAAAAATCAGTACCGAAAGCAGTGTGAGCAGTGATTCCGAGGAAAATCAAGCCTGGAAGAAACTTGAAGCTAGGTGCCTTCTGAAGCATGATGAGTGAAAGGAGCCACTGATTTCCATGATTGCTTCGATTTTCTCTCCCATTCATTCTTGAAACTATTGGAAAAAGCCGATAACTTTGGCTCACCTAATATCATATGCTATAGCGAAAATGGCATAAAAAGGGAACGAAGAATACAGCCCTGTTATGAATGAAGAGTGCAGCTGAGTAAAATGTCGCCGTGTCGTTTGAGACTATTGTCAGACAGTCTCAAAGCCTCTGTATAACAATGATAAGGCGTTTGAGGTATATCGGCTCCACAGCCTCATGAAAGACATTATAACAGACATATGCACCTGCTCGGATGTCCTTGGAAATGTTGTTGTACGTGTTGCTGCCGGAGAGCAAGAAAGGTGATGAAGTTCTCTGGTGAGAGAGGTATATTCGGAACCAAACCATTCGTCGACGACGTCATCAACGGTGACGTCATCGCCGTCTGTAGTGCAGTAGTTGAACTCAGTCTGAAGATGATAGAAAACTAAAACGGAATAAGATTACAGAGTATTTCTTACTAAGAATGGGTTGTCTATATACCCGGCTTTATTGTTTCGCGACTCAAGCGTAGCCATCAATTCGTCATACCATGGTGGTCGCAGTAGCCGAATATTCGCTCTTGATACGCTTGAATCGCAGTCAGATGACGTTACTCGAACCTGAATCCGAGAAAATCCAAAGAGGAGCATGCACATGAATCTCATATACACAAGCGAGGACTTAGCGTACAAAGTGAGTGGCAGTGAGCGTGGTGTTTAGGTACCTTAATACCCCTGCCGGACATTACGACATAAAAAGGCTTTCTGCGTTTCATCGTTGCTTCCATCATTCCAAATACTGGGTGCGCTATTAATATGATAGCAACTATCCGGGCCTCCGTAATTTCCTTGTTTAGAGGATTTCTTCAAAGCTGCACCTTCCCTTATGTTTATGACATGACTTAGCCCACATGTCTACCTTGGTGCCATCGACTGTCAGATTTTGAAAGACGGTGGAGCCTCGCAGACATCCACCAAGCGTTTCGTCTTTAAGCGCATTTGGTGAGTCCCTTCCCGGGGTCGCTCCTTGTTTCAACATTTCCCACATGACAGTCTCTTGACAGGTCAACAACAAATCTTAGAACGGTCGTCTTGTCTTACATACTACCTCTCATTCGAATAGAAGTACCTGGGAAGGAGTACGCTGCGGAACCTGCAGAAACACGAGAAAATTGACTGCTGACTTGCTTGAATGCTCTGCTTCGATGAGAAGGGCCTATCTCGAGTAAATACAATTGGATCCAGCTGAGAGTCGAAAGCCTTATAAGCTTCACAACGAGAAGAAGTTGGAGAGGAAAAACAGATGATGTGCACTACTTACGCGCGGCACGCGCTTCGACAGATTTTTTTTCCGCCTAAGGGCTGCTCAGCGTGAAAAAAATGTTGAGATCCCAGCGTATACGTATATTTCACACTGGGAGTGCTGAAGCCGCTGAGGAGAGTCAGATTGCCTCTCATGACCACTTTCCCTCTTCCATAATGATTTGGGCTGGAATCCTTACCATCAGAGCGATATAGCGAATTATGGTCGAGAAAAGTACAAAATTCAATCCGGAACTCTCTAAGAAGGGACTTTCAGAAAGAATGTCAGCTTAAAGGCACCGTTCACGACAAAAAAGTTATTGAGTTCTTACCTTATTAATACTCAGCGGCCCCCATGGGTTGTAGAAGGGTCCTCCTCACTCCCGCAATTTCGACGTCCAGGGCATAATGGCGGGCCCGTTGTTGTCGTAATTTGCATCTCCGCCCCTCGACCGATGTCACGTTAGACGAGTGTCGAGACGACACAGTGTCATGTAATCGCGTCAGGACCCATCCTGAACTGCAACTTGGCAAATTGCCAGAGACGCAATGTGTTGTATGCTATTGCAGACAACACATTGCGTCTCTGGCAACTTGCCAATTTGCCGTCTCTGGCAACTTGCCAATTTGCCCGAACACTCTCTAACCGACGTTCTTTCAATGTGAAACTCGTCCAACCCCCTTTCCAGCTCTTTTTTTGGCCCTTTGTAATTCTTTTTGTTCATCGTGTTTTGCGCTTTTTTCGTTGTTATCGCTTTATTCTAGAGTAGTTCTATCGATTTCCCGTCAAAAAAGGGTACCCTATCTTTTTTGTGAATGGTGCCTTTAAGGTCAAGGATAATTTTAGGACACGATTTGAAAACAACGGAGCACTTGCTCACGAGTGGGAAGAGATCAAAACTGGTGATTAGGAAATGTTCGTGACTTTATCCCAGCTTCTAATCCTCCTGCCAATTTTCCGAACTACTAGGTGATGGGTCGCCAGATACAGTCCATACTGTAGAGCAAAGCCTGCGCTTCGAAACGCCCCACTGTTGCTGCTTCTGAAAAATCACTGAAAAATCCCATGCTGAAATTTCTCAAGAAGCTCTGCGTGCCACCGTAGATAAGTAGCCGAAGCGTCTTCCAGCTCTAATTGGTACAAGGGACGGTTATATAAAATGACCGTGGTTTTGCTTTGTAGATGCGACGCATAGTGAATAACTCACATGAGTTCACATGTATACATATGAACGGCAGTTTTTATAGCCCAATTCTTTTGTTATTATATTTATGGCGTCTCCTCTCCATGCGCTTCTGTTTTGTATTTATTTGCAAAGATTTCGATCGGGTGTACTGTATTCTTTTGTATTATCCGTGAATGACGACTGCGACATTTTCCCCCAAGCCTCATAGTCAAGATGTTTTGTAGTTTTGAGTGTATTAGTGGGTGGATCGCGAAAGGAATGATGCGGCATTCGAGAAAGCCCTGCAAGAATATCAGGACACTCGTCTCCTCAAATCCCTATCGAAAATTCCACTGATCTTACAACAAATCGACAGCATATTCTCAACTGACACAAAACACCGCACGTAGTTTGGTTAATCTATTATTCTTCTCGGCTTCCACTCATCATTTCGATCACATTGAATCTTCTTATCTATACTATTGGTCGGAGTTATAATCGCAACTACCATAATAATCTTTCCTGCTACTTCAGCTCTACTCAATGGAATTGTATAGCTGACGCTGCAACTCATGCATTCCATCAATGTTCATATAAAAGACAAACTGAACAGTCTTTTCTCGTCTCCGTCGTTCATATCACTTCTTCCTATCACTGTGGGAAGCTACACTGCTCCATTACCCGCTCTGCCTGCATTCATAATGGTATGGGAGGTATCAATAAGGACACACTGACAAATACACCATATGCAAGTCATCACACAAGTAGTAACACACTACATTTACATAATGCAGTATGGGAGTTCAGTACTGTATACCCATGAAATTGTCATCTCCCATGCTTACAACAATTCCTCACCATATTCGCTGCAGGCCTCTCTTCTAGGAAGAAATGAGGCACGATTCCAATTTTAATTCAGCACATTTTTTAAGAATAGGTTTTTGGATTTACGGTACGCTGTCAACTCGAATGCTTTTTGTGAAAGCACTGACTGATAACAGGTAAAGGGAACATGCACTCATCTGCGGGAGTGCAGACTGTGCCCTATTGGAGAGCGTCAGGGCTAGCCGTGGTGCATAGGGTGGTTACATCAACACTCAAGCATCAAATTGTCAATGTTTTTCACGTTCAGAACTTATACTTATATGGCTCGTCTTCACTCACGTGCGAGCACCAGCAACAGGCCATTCGCTTCTGTCTTTCGCGATCGCCATCCATGGTAGACTCAGAATTCGATGAGGATGACGACGAGAGGAGTCGTTCAGCTGCTATCGCAGCTGTTCCACGTGATCGACGAGCACATCCCTCCATCTCGCAGCAGGCCTACCCTTAGGTCGCGAAGATTCTACGGGAGCCCATTCGACTATCCTTCTTGTCCATCTGTCATCATCTCTTCTCATTATATAAGCGGCCCACCGAAATTTTGCGTTCATCTTGTATTCCATCGGATTGCGGGGCGAGACATTCCGCGCATATCGGAGCTACTTACCGGCTCGATATTGAGTGAGCCGATCGAACCTCAAAAGGCATCGCTCGAGTGCTCGGTGACTTGTGCTCAAAGCCCCTGACGTGGATGCGCTGGTCACCCAAGTCTCCAGCCCGTAACAGAGCGCAGGAAGAACGGTGGAATCGAACAGATCAGCGCGAAGCTCCGGGTCCGTCACACGGTTAGTAACCTCTTTCAGAGGTCCGAGGTCCGAAGGCGGCCTACGCTGCTTTTTGCCGTCTCACCACTTCTTCCTTCATGTCGTTGTTAATAATCATGAAACGCCCGAGATACACGTAGGACGAGGTTTCCTTGATAGGTGTACCATCGATCCCAATTTGACCTTCGTCAGCCCAGGCATTCTTCATGAACTGTGTCTTTGTTTGGTTGATCCGCAGCCCTATTCCTGCTTTATTAAGCTCAGCAAGCATAGTCTCAACTTCCGTGATGCTGCTTGAAAAAAGAACGATGTCGTCCGCAAAGCGGAGGTTAGAGAGGAACCGTCCATCCACACGAATGCCCTTTTCCTCCCAGTCTAGCGACGACAACTTTGGCACCAATTCACCGACGCCGGAGGGGTGGAAGGTTTGGATGGTCCAAGTGGATATCGATCTAGGATTTGAGCCCGTATCCATGCATATGTGATAGTGCACCACTTGCCACTACACTACACCCCCTCTAAGACCCATGAAGACTTTAGACTACGAAATTCTAGAGAGCCAGGAGCATTGAGAGCCTGATCATAAAAGGAAACGACATAGCATGGTACTATTTAGTTTGAAAAATTTGTTTTGTACTAGTTTTTGTATTGCCATTGGACTAATTTTCAGCAACTTCAGCAGGACTTTGAAATGGCCTGAATTCGAAAAAGAGTTCCTGTGGGAATTACATCGAACCTCTCGCAGTTAAACCATTTTTTGGCCACACAATTTGAGACTGAAAATTATTCAAAATAGTTGCACCGATCATTGTCACGAGCTCTTCAGTGGTTTTTTAAGGAATGAGATGAAAGGAATAATTTTAGCTCCAGTCACCCACCCAACATGAGTAAATAATCTCTACGATGTGTTTAGTGGGAGAATGAAGCGCAGGAACTTCACATGTAGGACAATATTGCGCAGCGAACGCGATGTTATAGAATGATGAACATCAAACATAGATAGACAAAAATGTGAGCATTGGTAAAGCCGCACTTCAGTTTACAGGATAGAGAAAAGGGAAGATCGCGCTAACGAAGTTCGTAAGAGGAGAGTCAGTAAGTCATTATTACCAGCAACTGTAGTGTAGGACATCCGCACAACAGCGCTGAGATAAAATTTTGCTTGCTGAGGGAATCACCTCTGGTCGATACTCTTCGTCTCGTGGCTTTTACTCTATTTCAGACTATTGCACTATCTCATTCTACTAAAATTTCTGAAATTAGTGGCAAATGAAAGGCGTTGCTCGCAACAGTAAAATCAGGAAGTCAAGCACACGTTTTGAGTTGTCACAATTTTTATGTTGTGGACTTGGAGCATGCTTCCTTGCGCCCTCTTTCCTTCATATCTTCGAATGATAGAGCCTGGTACGCTTTTATATTGCAGTTCAATGCTTCGTCAAGCAAATAATGACTATTAACAATCAGGTTCTAGAATGTCGAACTCCATATCTGGAATGATGCTCCAATGGAGACTACGTATTGTAAGTCTCAAGCATAGTTTGCAAAGGTCAGAGATGGGGAGGGATGATTCATGCTACAGTATGAAGCTAATATCGCAATTTTCAGATCGCGGAGATAAGGGTCGAATGGAAG